CATTCATACTTCCAACCTTCACCCTTTTTACATAAATACCATTATTCTCGATTTTAGATTTTATTACATTTATTTTACCTTCTTTTGATGACTCCAATTTTGTACAAAATTTGGCAATGTGACCACTCTCCTTGCAATTATAGCACTTCACTTCAACTCTAACAGGACAATCTCTAACTCTATGCCCTTTACCTCGACATCTATAACACTCCACTTCATTACAATTTTTATTCACATCACTCACTGACGACCTTCCAAACGATGATGACGGCTGAAGATTTCCTGAATGCTGACGAGACAATGATGATCCCTGCTGCGCTGACGACGATGGTGGACGCGACGATGATCCCTGCTGTGTTGATGACGATGACAAACGAGATGATGATCCCTGCTGCAATGATGATGACAAATATCGATTCGACGATGATGACAAAGACATCTGCTGTTCCGTGTTCGACGATAAATGTGATGACACACTACCTTGAGATTTTCCAGTAATTCTCTGTTTTCTAACTGACTCAAGAGTTTCCATGTTTATTATTCTCTCAAGGACATCATCCAAAGAGAGAAATTCCTGAGAAGAGATAGCGACACTAATGTCTCTCGACCACAATCCCACGGCAATCTGATTTTTAGTTTCTGTGACTCCAAAACCAAGTGCTTTACACAATCGAACTTTATCAAAGAAGTATTCTCTTGAATCTTCCCCACGTCTTTGATTTCTATTTTCCATGGCCTTCCATTTTTCCGTTAAAGACTTTTCTCGAATAAAAGTTCCCTTGAACGACTGTCGAAATGATCTCCAGTCATGAACAACATCAACATGAGCCAAATACCAATTCCTTGCTGCACTTTTGAGATGTGCCCTCGCTGTTTCAAATGCAACGGCCTCCGTCCACCGGTGCAACATTGCTGTTGATTCCAATTGACTCAACCAACTCCTTGCTTCAACTGGTCCTTCAAGTCCGGTAAAATTTTCAATGTTATGCGACAAATCAGGCAAAACATTGTAGTGAAAAGTTTCTGCACGATTCGTCTCAGTCATATTTTGCATAAGTTGAGCGTTCTGTTGTAACAAGTTACCCACTATATATAACAATTGTTGCATATCCGTTGCATTCTGTCCTGCATTTGGAGGTGGTGGTAAATTTGGATCAAACTGTTGTGGATCTCGTACATGCCGACCATCATCATTTCCATTAATTTGACTATTATTTCCATTATTCTGACCATTATTTCCATTATTTTGACCATTATTACTTCCATGTTGCTGTTCATTCGGACCCAAGGAATTGCGCGAATGATCCCCTCCTCCTGTTGACATGATGATGTAATCACTTCACGAGACACTCAGTTTCACAAAACGAACACTATTAGCGCTAGTGAATTTGCCATATTAAAATGATTTTTGGCGGTTCACTTTATAATAGACGCGACGCCATTTTGAATTTTATAGCGTCTTTTGTCACACACAAAAAAAAAAGTTTTTTATATAGGATGAAAGCAAGCGAAAATTTAGGCACTCAAAGGATTTTTATGTATCCCACTTCTGAAAAATGTTATAGTTAATTTTGATAAATAACTGATTTAGGGTGAAAGACTAAATGAAACTACACTTTTACATTGAACAAGTCTAAATTTATTTCACTGAACTAGAGAAAAGCAACGTTTTAATTTAAATGTTTAGTTTATAAATATAATTTAGACTGTTAACAAAACCACTCCACATTTAGTTCACCACAACAAGCAACTTAGCTCTTCCGCGCCTATCGCCACGCTTTCCTAATAAGCCGATTACAATGTTTTTGACTATTTCGAGCCACTGCTCATTACATACTGCTCGACTGCCTCGCTTATCAGTTTGGCAATGACGACATATTGACAGTGCCGACGTATATTTGCTGTGGGACCCCTTATAAAATATTTCAGTTATGACACCTCTCAGAACAGTTTTGTTGGTTTTAAACTTTAAAATAAGAACTTAACTTTTGCAATTAAATTATAAGTGATTTTTTAATAATGATTTAGACTTTGGGAGATAATTTTCATAAACTAATATGTATATATAATTCCACAAGTTTAACAAGTGTGATTACATTTATTAAAACGAAACGTGTAATTAATTCTTTAAATATGTGTAATTTCCATTGTAAACAGATAATTAGTAAATGTTTTTTATATATACTTTTATTTAAAGTCATCAAATGAAATGACATATGAGAATAATTGTTTAATTCGCGAAATAAATTTTTGGCAGGTGAGGTTATGTACATACATTCTGTTATGTTCGCATTCTAGCACTGCGAGCAGAATGCGAGGAAGGTGTTAAGTAGAGTCTACATTCCATGGTACGCGAACGTGAACGTGTACGCGAACGTCTGACGTCACCCATGCTATTCAAATGGGTGACGTCAGCACGGCAACGTTCGCGTTCATCCAATGTAGACTCTACTTTAGAGCACAAAAGTGTTTCAAATGCTCTCAGCGCCACTACAGCGCAATGGCGTGCGAGACAGTGCGAGAGTGGCACCTTACTAGCGCCACCAAATTTTTCTACTAGGGGACATTAATACATACATACACACAGACATACATACATACATACATAATTTTTTTTATTGTCATTTTTGGAATTCTTACTACTCGAATAGAAAAACTAAACATGAAATTTCAAATTCTATGCAATGTACAGACAAAAGTCTGATCTTATTTATAAAGATATATATAATATATATACCCCCACAGCACCGAAACTTTCCTAAAAATGTATTAAATATTTACTTGCAATGTTCGGAATCTGTAATTGCAATGTTTATTGAAAGTTGTGTAAAGAACAATTTTCACTAAACATTTCAGTTAAATATGCCGAATATTACAAGTAAATATTCAATAAATTTTTAGGAAAGTTTCGGTGCTGTGGGGGTATATATATATATATTTTTTTTAAATGGTATTCATGTATATGACCGTAAATACGACCCTAAATACGGGCATAAATACGGCTGTATTTGCTGTTTCAATTACACTACCCTTTCTAAGGCCCGTATTTAGGGTCGTATTCACAGTCATATTTACGCTCGTATTTTTACGCAGTCGTTCTTTTTCAGTAGGGGACGCCCCAATATTTGTTAGCATTTTTATTATGATATAGTTTACATTTTTATTTTTTATAATTTATACTTTTAATAAACGCACGTGTAGTTTTTGTTTTTTCAAAATATATAATTTCCAACATAAAGCAAAAATTACTATTTTTCAGGAAACTTTTATTGTTATCTATAAAACTTTTACAATGAGGTTTTTAAATATTTTAAATTAAATTAATTTAATATGTTACAATAGATTTTGTGCAAAAACTAATCAACAAGTACTTTTGTTTCGTTTCCTTTTAATAGTATAGGATTAAAATTGTTGGTCAGTTAGGTATTTAAAAATGCTGTAATAATGTAAAGACATGTTCAAAATCTGTAAAAAAAAATTAATTGATCATTGATAAAAGTAATAAACGATAAATTTAATTAAAAATTATTTTCTCTATTTTCACTAACCGTGAGAAAGTTTGATATTGTAAATGTAAATAGTTTAGCTCCTGTAAATTTATAAATCTTCGTACTTCTAATCATTATTATTAATAATATTTTCTGATTATCATTTGAGAGTTCATACCAATATCCATTGTAGCTAAAAATTTTAGTTAAAATTAAAAAATATCTTCGTAAATGCTAATATAGTGTTTGTGCATAAATACTTTTGTGGTTAGGGATTACAACCGCATTAGAGAGTTCAAAAAATCGTATTTCTATAAAAATACTGTTAATTTACATGTTTCTAAAGAGTTGAAAACTATGGTCTGTTAAACGTTGACAGGAGTAATTTATACAGAAAACGTGAAATAGATGACCAAATATCAATCTCAAGTGTACGTTTTCAATTTTTAGTTGATCCAAATGCGTCATTAACTATAATAAAAATAATTCTTTTTTAACAAAATTTTAATAACTTTTGTTGAAATTAGTAAAAAGGGAGCGTTCACAAATGATGTCACGCAATTTTTCGGGATTTTAGACACCCCCCCCCTCTCCCCTGTCAAGCAATTTCATGCAATTTCACATGTAAAAATACATTGTGTCACGTTTAGCAGAGACCCCCCGTACCCCCAAAAACGTGACATCATTTGTGAACGCTCCCAAAGTACAATAAAACATTTATAAATAAAGAACAATTTTTCCGGATTTTTCTTCATTATATACATAAAATAATTATGCAGGTTTTTTTTACCTGAACTCCAAAAGTAATAATTAAAATTATAGTACACCCTACGACAATGAAATATAAAGTTGAAAAACATTTGCTGATACGGGTTACAAATCTAAAGTTTATAAATCATATTTAAATATTTAAAGAAATCTAGAAATTTTTTTAAGTGTTAAATAATTTTTAAACAAACAAAAAGTTTTTAAATAATAATTACATAATGTTTAAAAAAGCAGTCTTTTTACAGTTACATTAAATATGATTTAAGAAATAAATTTTTTTTTGAAAATAAATTTAAAATTGTATACCTACGATAAAAGTGAGTCATGCACTTCAGCGCAAAATTTAATCTCTTGCATTTTATTTCGTTCATTACAGTCTTTTTTGGCAATATTTTTCAATTTATAACTGAAAACATATTCTGGATTGTTACATATTCTGTTTTTGTTATTATTTTGTAATTTACTATATTAGTTTTTAAAATGTTTTTTTATTTATATTTATACTTCGCGAACATACCAAAAGGGCTGAATTTAACAATTTTTTCTGTTATTTTATATCCAAACGAAACTACTGGATATAATTTTTTTTTGTAGAAGTCTCAATTTTTCTTACCCTAATGTTGCAAATTCACCACATGCATGATAGAGAAAAGACAAAAATATTGCATCTGTACTAACAATAATTGTAATCATTACTGTATTAGTAAGACAAGTATGTAGTGTGATCCAAAAGTAATGATCGTCTTGATTTACAAAATATTCTACCACTGGGTTGAATTTTCTTGGACGAGACTGATTTAATGGCATTATGATATCCATAATTAATGGACACAGTGGTTCTAAAAGAAATTCAAACCAACATGTGCAAATAACAACTGCAAGAAATAAAATTGTGTTCCAAATAAAATTGTTTTTATTATTATATCATTTATAATAATTTGTTGGTCGTCGATTGTTTATGTTTAAATATTTTTAAATTACTGAAAAACCCATTACAAAATAATGTAATGACGCAAAAAAAAGTTTTGATCGTCGTGGGATACGAATATGTTTACTATAATTTTGAATTATTTTGTTTTAGATAAAATTTCAAGTGTGACGAAAATCGAAATAATAATTATTATAAATGTCTTACCCAAAAATGTAATGATGAACTTTCTACCTTGAAGATCGTGTTCATGAAGAATTTTAAATTCCCTTTCGGATTTCCAAATAAACCAATTTTTCTTCATTTCCACTAAAAGCTCCTCTATCTATAATATAGTAAAAAATGTGTGTGTGTGTGTATATGCCAATAAAAAATTTTGTAAAGAACTACTTACATTCTCCTTACTGCTACAAGCTATTAAGTAGTTTACACTCATGAGGCTCACTAAATAGGTTGGAAAGAACTGAATTAGTTTTTCCATTTCGTCCCAGTATTTTACTATAGCTATTGTCTAATGAGAATTTAAAAAAAATTAAAACTTACATCAATAGTCGAAAACCAATCTTGTGCAATGCATTAATATTAGTAAATTTTAACCTAAAATAATTTACCTAGATCTGTCAATGTACCTAGTGGCATGTGGATTAACTATACGAAAATCCTATTAGAAAGAAAAGGACAAAGATCTAGGTAGATTATTTTAGTTTTAACCCTAGATTATAATTTTATGCAAATATAATAAACAAATAACAACAACATTGTAATAATAAAATAATAACAAATCATAATTAACAAATAACAAGATTGTAATAATACTAGTAACAAGTTTTTACAAATGACAATTTTCTAAAACATGCAGTTACACAATCGGTCATAACAATATCTGCGCGCAAACAGACCACAGATTGGGGAACCCGTTGGGGTACCATAATTCTGTTTATAAAATTTTCCATTGAATTTCAAAAAAATGTTATTTATGAAAAATTCACAAGAACTTAATAAGAGATCCAACGGAATGTTGCAAGATGTGAAAATGGTAGCATATTGTTTCTCAATATTTTTAAGAGCCAGTCTGGTACAACCAACATTTGTAAACAAAGATTTAACATCCAAACTGATAAGAACATGGTCAAAAAATACGCAACTATATATTTTAAAAAATATATTCTTGAATTAATATTAAAAAAAATACCTGTCCCACAAGAAAGCTTAGGATACTAAACCAATAAAATACGGTAATAGTTCGTTGCATGAATTTATTTTGATGTGGACAACATCCAATCAAACACAGTAGATATTCATTTATTCTATAGAATCTTTTATAATAATCGATATCAATTTTAGAACTCATCGCCGTGAGGATCTAAAGTTTCCCTTACTTCATTGAAGTAACAACTATCTTATATTTTCTTAACAAAAATCTTACTATAAATTGCACTGAATTTGCGGTTTATAAATTTTGATTAAGAAATTACTGTTCTGAATTAAACTTTAGAGAATGTAAATGGTATATATGAAAGTGAATCATTTGAAACTTTCTTACTATAAAGTTTTATATGTTTAAATAAAGTTTACGGAATAAATAAATTATATACTCTAAGAAATCTAGAAATTGATTTTAAATTGACCATATTATGGTTTTTTGCGACATAAGTTTTTCCAATTATGATAATCTTCTATAAATTATTTTCTTTCAGGGAATTTTTTCTTATTTAAACGTTGAGATCGTTCTTGCCAGTATATCAGTAAATGAGATTATTTCCATAGAAAATAATATTAAAATGTGAGTTGAAAAAATAAAATTCAAAAATTTAATCTTTTATTTCATTCTTGAAAAGAATACTACTTAAATTTTCGAATAAATTTTTTACTTTCAAATCTACTAGTCATTAAATAATTGAATTTTTTAAAGTAGAGATAATTTAAGAAAGAAATTTTTTATCAGACCATGATAATTTTTAAATTAAACATATTTATATTTCAGAGCAACTTTAAAAATTTATGAACAATCATGGAATAAGAAGACTTAAGAGTTTACAATTTCTGATAGTATACAAGGATCAATATATAAGTGTTTAATTACAGTTTTTGTAAAATACATTGAATACAATTTATTTGTCTAATTACGAAATAATAATTCTAATATAAAATTTAAAAATAAACCTTTACTTGTAAAAAAGTTTTATAATCTAGTATATAATTCTGGAAAATGTAATGAAAGATTTAATACAAAATCAAATAATGTGATATGTAAGAATCTGTTTCTGTTGCTCCAAAAATTTTTATCTGTGATTAAAATAAGTTATTAATTTTTAAAGATTGTATTACATTACGTGTATCTAGTATAGTCGTACTTACCACATCTTAGTTGTATTTTAATATAGATTATAATTAAGAATTTATCTCATCGATGAAAGCATTGTGAAATAAGACATTGACGCGCGAATCATCTGCAAAAGTAAACCATTATTTCTCTCTTCAATCCCAGAATGTAAAAAATTTTGTTAAAAAGTTTGTTAAAAAGTTTGAGAACATATTTTAAATTTACCACGAACTAAAAATATTTGATAGAAATGACACGACTTTTTAAAATTCCGTTAAACCGAAAGGACAGCATATACTGATTTAAGATTTAGTTTTTAAAATATATATTCACTTACTTCAACTCAATAAATTGGAAACAAGAACTAAATACAAAAAACAATGTGTATGACGTCGTTGAAATGTTCTGTAATATTTTGTGTGGTGCTTATGACAAATTTTTTTCTTTAGATCCTATCTATAAATTCATATTCTCCTTTGTAAACTTAAACTTAAATGCTAACTTATCCCCACCGTATTATATTAACGTCTACCTAATTTTATGAATCTTGGTAATAAATCAGGTAGGTGATCTGTTAAGTATTATTTAAATATGTACTTTGCTAATTTTTATAGTTTAATAAATTGTAGTTGATGAAGGGGACAGCCGATCTGTCAAAACCGTAAAAAACATCTTTTGTCTTTATTATTTCCAATTTAACTCGGAATAATAGTAAATCACAAAGTTTTATATTTACAAATGCTTCTAATCCTGTAGGTTCAATGAATTTTCATAGTATGTATTTTTTCGAAAGATAAAATTTTATCTAATTTAAAAAGTATCCCAAACTTAATGACAAAATTTTATATATAATGTCTCAAATGAAATAAAAAGTTAAAAAAATTTTTTTTTTTAAATTCAAAAATAAAAAAGAACAAACATAATTATTATATAGAATGAAAAATAAAACTAAATTAACTTACCACTGAAAAGCTTTCTATTTCAATAGAATAAATTTGAAGAGCGGTAAGTTTGTACGTGTATTTTGTTTTCGTCAATATTTGAAGTATCATTTTTCTTGATTTTATTGGCAGTTCATACCATCGACAGAAATATCTTTAAAATGATAAATAGTTTTTAGTTTTCATATGGTCTTTTGAGTTTATTTCATTAATTTATTGACTTACACATTTTTAAAAAGTAAACTAATTTTATCGGTTAGTCGTTGCGATGATAAACTAAGATAAAATAAACTAAACGAATGAGCAACAACAAATAGTACAAATCTAAAAGCCTCGTGTGGTTTATTTAAGTTTATTATAACCTGTAAAAAATTCATATTATATTGTACACTCATGATCATATTTTTATTAATTTTCATCAATGATAGAGTGTTAAAAAACCATTTTTACCAGTATTCCAATAAGACTTATGATGACAACAGTGATTAGTATTTGTATTAAAAAGGAAATTGCAAACAGAGATTCAATTACAGAGAAGAATCTGGTATAAAAAAGGAAAAGAATTAATAAAATTTGAAAAATAGTTACAATCTCGAAATCTTTAAAATAACCCTGCGCACTTACTCTAAACCACTGCAGTGTCTTTGCACACATGTTGAGATTTCTTGATGTACTGTATCATATTCTTCTTCAATATTGTGCTTTTCTTTAGGTATTTTCTTGTCTAAATTCTCTAGTTTTTGACTACAGAAAAATAAAATTATTAATATTCACAAACATGTACAGAACATTGTATATAAACTGTTCATCCGCTAAGGTTATAAAAATTAGTATGCAGAACCTAATAGGAAAGACAATATAAGTATAATAAATAATCCGAAAGATAGAACCTAACAGAAAGTTAAGGTAACAGTTTTAACAAATTAAATACAGATTGTAATTTAATTTTTTAGCTAAACCATTCAAGTAAAAATACAGTAAAGATGTTTATAAAAAATTTTACCCCAAGGCCGCAAAATAACCACAAGAATGTTGAGTAAATAAAAAGAATAATATATCAAAATTAAATCCAGAAGAAATTTTCACATATGCGTTTATATATGTGTGAAGTTGTATAATATAAAAGTAATCCTCATTGTTATCAAATCCATAATCAAGTTCATAAATAAAAAGTCTTTCACGAGTTTCATTAAGAGGCTGTATTTGGTCAAGTAAGCATGGTACTAGTGGCATAAATACATACAAGCATGAAGAAACAAAAACATAACCTGCAAATTTAATACATTGATAATTCAAAGAATCACTTAATAATAGGGTGTTGTGGGGTGATGTGCAACACCGCCGATTTCTGATCTACAGTTCGATATTGAACAAAGCCAAGTATTGACATTTGTTTGAGGAGTTTCCTCAGTAGATTGTTTATTTTTTGATATAAAACTCACGAGACAGCTCGCAGCTAGGTTTGCTGTACGTAAGTTGACTTAAATTTCTCGAGAAGGAAATATTTCTCGCGCTTTACATTTTTAGTCGTTTCGTGAAGGGTTTTAATTTATTTTATAGATAAGAATGTGTTTATTGTTGGTTTTTTAAGTGTTTTTAAATATCTGTTTATATTTTGTGTTTCCATTGCATTGTATTGCGTATACAAATCATTTTTCGCAAAATATCATATTTGGGGTGATGTGCAACACTTTTTTTTGGGGTGGACGTAACTACTTTTTACGTGCCATAACTGTGATTCACATGATCGAATAAAAAATTCTGAGTTATTTTCCTTTTAATTATATTCCTTATTCAGTTATGAATAAATAAAAAATTAAACAAAAGAAATTTTTTTTTCTTTGGTGAAATCTCCACTTTTTAGAGGTCAACTATACCTTAGTAAATTTTTTTTGGCAGATTTCGATTAGTTTGCATTGAAAAAGCCTAAAATTAATAATTAAAGAGATTTTCATCAATATTTATGCATTACATACCTGAATTTTACTGGTGTTGCACATCACCCCAACTTTTTTGGAAAATGCAAAAACAGACGTTTTTAAAAAAGCGAAAAATTTGTAGGAAAAATTTAAAATTCTGAAAATCTAATAATGCAGAAATATTCTATTGTAATGCCTCTAAGTCATTCAATTTTGAAATATTTAAAAATTTAATTATTTGACATGTTTTTCGTCCAACGAAAAAAAAACGTGCACATCACCCCACAACACCCTAGTTAATTAAATAAATAATAGATTAAAAAATATGTTTGATTAATACACAAATTGTACATACCTACATAAATTTTGGTACAATCTTTTCCTCGTTGGCAATATTTAAGAAATTCATTAAATTCGTTTTCAGTTGACAATAAGTCAGAATGACTTTTCATATTCATTAATATACTTTTTATCTATATTTAAATTATTTATTATATTTATTTCCACACTAGTACATAAGAGAGAATGCTAAATATTTGCTTTCAAAATTTTAAGAGAAAGTCACATGTATGTACTATATCATTAACTGTTTGAAAATGTTCTTAACTTGTAGCACCCTCAACAGTTATTAACAGTAGTCGGAGATAAAAGAGTTTTATTTGAGTAGGACTATAAAAGAATTACGAACTAACATATCAAGTTTTAATTAAATCGACTTATATCTTGGGACACGAATCAAAAGGAAAGAAAGTAAATAAAGATTCAATAAATTAGAATTTTGAAATAAATCCAGATATTATTATGATTCTACATATGGGACGTTCCACGTCAACAGAAACAGAGCTGTGGCCAAAAATTGGCGCAATGAAAAAAAACGTTTAAGGGCTTAAAAAATTCTTACACTCGTGTACTTTCAATAACAGGTGGGCGTTTTTGAAAATCCAAAATGGCGGCCTAATTACAAGCGAAGAAGGTCAACAAAATCACAAACCGACAAATAATATCGTTAATAGAAATTGCAAAATTCAAGAAAAAAAATTGAACGAAACTTTTTTAAACGTTTTTGGGGTCGCTTAATACAATTCTTAACTCAGATTTTGATTAGAGTCTGAAAATTCAAAATGGCGGAACCAAAATGGTGGACAATTTTTAAAACTCTTTAAAATCGCTCAAAACTTGTTACTCGGGGGTTTTCGGGGTCGCTGATTACGAATATGACATCGGATTTCGAAAATTCAAAATGGCGTATCCAACATGGCCGACATTTTTCTTTAAATTCATCGTATTCGCTCAAAACTTGTTACTCGGGGGTTTTCGGGGTCGCTGATTACGAATATGCCATCAGAGTTAAAAAATTCAAAATGGCGGATCCAACATGGCCGACATTTTTCTTCAAATTCATTGTATTCGCTCAAAACTTGTTACTCTGGGATTTTCGGAGTCGCTGATTACGAATATGACCTTAGTTCTTAAAAATTCAAAATGACGGATCCAACATGGCCGACATTCGAATTTAATATTTTTTTAGAAGCAATAAAAAGCTGTTTGTAGAGAGTTAAAGTTTTGTTCTTTCTAGTAGCTGAAGCAAATTCTAGTAGCGTTTAAGTATCGTAATATTTTAACCGTTTTATTTGGTTCAATTATAAATACGTGCTAAAGGCAATCAAAAAAAATATCATATCTAACAAACAAAAATATTTGACAGAACCATAGCAAAAACACTATCGCATGTTACAATTGGTTGTACATTGATGTAACGAAGCCTGATAAAAAATCAGTGAGAGAAGCAGGCGCATTGCGCCTACCTCTTCGGGGTTTCGTGGTCTAAAAGACAAAGAAAAAATCATAAAATCAATCAGGAGCTCCACATAATGATTTCAATAACAAGCGTTGCTATGACAATCATTGCCATAGCAACTGTAAACAAAGCAACCATTACCATAGCAACCATTACCATAACAACCAGTACCATAGTAACGGTTTCCATGGCAACGGTTGTTAGGGAAAACTGCGGACGGACACCAGAGTTTCGCTATAAGGGATTCAGTCCTTGCCCGTGTAGAAATTTAACCATGACCCAAATCGGGGCCAGATCTTTTGATCATTGTGTAGGCCATAACATGGCATGAAACACCTTCCCAGATCAGACTTGGGCCCGATCTGGGGAGGTGTTTCATGCCATGTTATAGCCTAAATATGGCAATTTCTACACGGGTGGCCACGAAACCCTAAAAACACAATAGTCAAGAACGAACACAATTCTTTGACAGAACCAGAACAAAAAAAACTACTCCATATCACAATTGGTTTTTATCTCTGATCCTGTCACGGATTTATAATTGAACCAAATAAAACGGTTAAAATATTACGATACTCAAACGCTACTAGAATTTGCTTCAGCTACTAGAAAGGCCAAAGTACAAACAGCTTTTTATTTCTTATAAAAAATATTAAATTGGAATACCGATTAAATTGGATCTGACATTTTGAATTTTTTAAAACTAAGGTCATTTTTGTATTCAGCGACCCCGAAAACCCCAGAGTAACAAGTTTCAAACGAATTCGATGAATTTTTCAACAAAATGTCGGCCATGTTGGATCCGACATTTTGAATTTTAAAAACTAAGGTCATATTTATAATCAGCGACCCCGAAAACCCCCGAGTAACACGTTTTGAGCGAATACGATGAAGTTAAGAAAAGAATGTCGACCATGTTGGATCCGCCATTTTTAATTTTTTAAATCTGATGGCATATTTGTAATCAGCGACCCCGAAAACCCCAGAGTAACAAGTTTTGAGCGAATACAATGAATTTGAAGAAAAATGTCGGCCATGTTGGATCCGCCATTTTGAATTTTTGAAATCGGATGTCATATTCGTAATCAGCGACCCCGAAAACCCCCGAGTAACAAATTTTGAGCGATTTTAAGGAGTTTTAAAATTTGTCCACCATTTTGCTTCCGCCATTTTTAATCTTTTAACTCTAATCAAAATCTGAGTTAAGATTTGTATTAAGCCACCCCAAAAACGTTAAAAAAAATTTCGTTCAATTTTTTTCCATGGATTTTGTCATTTTTATTTATGATATTATTTGTGGGTTCATGATTTTGTTGACTTTGTTCGCTTATAATTAAGCCGCCATTTTGGATTTTCAAAAACGCCCACCTGTTATTGAAAGTACACGAGTGTAAAAATTTTTTAAGCCCTTTAACGTTTTTTTTCATTGCGCCAATTTTTGGCCACAGCTCTGTTTCTGTTGACGTGGAACGTCCCATATATAATTTTAAACGATAATTGGCAATTTTCAAGTTAATCAACAGTAAAAATAATCGTGTGATTGTATATAATATCAAAGTTATAGATTGATCAAAATTGATGTTAATTATCAACAACGTTTTTATTGACAAATGTATTAATTTTTGACAGTTTATGAATTCAACAAATATTTAACTTATTCAAAAAAAAAAAAAAAATAAGAATTCTTTATCAATTCGAGATATATAGGATATTTAGGTTAAATGGATAAATTACAATTTTGGCAAAATTAAATTAATAAAAGGAATGAATGATATCTGAATAAAAATCAAAAAAATAAAATTATTGAATTAAATCAAAACAAACAAAGGAATTCAGTATTGAAAATCAAGAAAATGGAATTAATTTTAATATCATATCTAAAATAATAAACAAATTTGTACATGAACTGAATTTTAAACTGATGCGATCAACGAATTTCCAATGAAAAAGTAGGTCTTCTCAAGATTCCCAAATGGTTTTAGACTTTTCTCCCAAATTATTCACGAAAATAAAAAAAAATATAATTAATGAGAACTTTTCTCTAATGATCTTACAAAAAGAATGAATGAAATGGCGTCGTTCGTTTATCTTATCACCTAGGAAATTCGTTGCCAACGTAAAAAAAAGGTCACGTTACTAATCTAGATTCGTGCTATACGATTTTGGATTGGTTATAATTCTGTAAGTTAATTCGGAAATTTTCTAGTTCCTTCACGTTGATTGCTTGGTTCAAATTAAGCGTCTGGATCGAACAATCCGTTCTCCGCTCGACTGTATGCTTTCAAGCCAGTCAAACATACCAAAATGGTCTAAAAATTGAAATTCAAAATTTTAATTTTTGAAACATACATTCTTGTAGGAAATTGAATGGCGCATCTTTTTTTCCATTAAAATTTTTTTGTAGAACAAATATTTTTTAAGATAATGACCAAAAACTAAAAATTTTAAACTTATGAAATTAATTAAATTTTAAAACATAAATCATCATATCTTCGGTAATTATTATTGAATTTAAATGAAATTTGGCATACATCTTCTTTTGGGTTAAGAGAAGGCAACGACAAAATCAAAAATAAAATAAAAAATAAAATAAAAAAATAAAATAAAAAAAATCAATTGTTTAACAATTTTGCTTTGTTAATGAAGAGAGGTTAGAAATTCTACTTTCTCAACTTTGCTGATAAAAAGTCTGCGGGGAATTTTATAATTCAGAAAACTTCCAGTAAGACATTTATTTATTAACATTCAAGGAAGTTTTTTGCAATTATATTATATTTGTTTTTACATTAATTTTTTATTTATTAAATATTACAATAATAAAACTCATTAAATTATTAATTATTAATGTAAAAACAAATATAATTTAATTTTCGTTAGTTTTTAACAAATCTTTTCGAAATTTTGCAAAAAACTTCCTTGAATGTTAATAAATAAATGTCTGACTGGAAGTTTTCTGAATTATAAAATTCCCCGCAGACTTTTTATCAGCAAAGTTGAGAAAGTAGAATTTCTAACCTCTCTTCATTAACAAAGCAAAATTGTTAAACAATTGATTTATTTTATTTTTTTATTTTATTTTATTTTTGATTTTGTCGTTGCCTTCTCTTAACCCAAAAGAAGATGTATGCCAAATTTCATTTAGATTCAATAATAATTACCGAAGATATGATGATTTATGTTTTAAAATTTAATTAATTTCATAAGTTTAAAATTTTTAGTTTTTGGTCATTATCTTAAAAAATATTTGTTCTACAAAAAAATTTTAATAGAAAAAAAGATGCGCCATTCAATTTCCTACAAGAATGTATGTTTCAAAAATTAAAATTTTGAATTTCAATTTTTAGACCATTTTGGTATGTTTGACTGGCTTGTAAGCATACAGTCGAGCGGAGAGCGGATTATTCGATCCAGACGCTCAATTGTGAATATCTTCCAATCTTAAAGGATGTAATGGAATCGTCAGCTACAAGTAAGTATGAATTGAAAATGTAAATCGTTTTCGAACTTTAATATTCTAAAACGTGTGATAATATGTTAAAAATATATCAGAAAACAATTTTCAAATCACTCCGCAATGTTTAATAAGCGCTTTCTCAAAATGCTCATTTCACAGTTACTAGATTATACAGCGGCTCTCTTAGAGTTGAGACAGAATTGCCACCGATATGTATAAGAAGAATTCATATATTAATCGTTTAACTTTTTATCTGATCACTGCACTGTAAAAAATACTGGGACAAAAGTTTCTTAAATCAAGCTACTTTTAGCGTCTAAGGCACAAAATACGTCTTTATTTATGACGCTTTTACTCGATTAAGAAACTTTTTTCATATAACATTTAAGACACCTGTTTTTGCAGTGTGTATCTCAGTTTGAAATTTTTTAATTTTACACTCTATTATTATCATAATATTATATTTGTGATTACCTTCTCAGCATTGAGAAAACATGTCATAAATTTCGTTCCATATACGACAGTAGTCAAGAGAGGTAATGTGCGTACCATAATTTTATCTACTCCCTCATCCCAAAGCTTGATGTAACAATTTAACTATAAATGAAATTCTTATTATTATTTTACTAGGTTATTAACCCTATAAGGACCCATTTCAAGATTAACTGAGGCGCAGGTTTTGTTTTGACCTCATGACGGTATATGCCCCCTTAAAAGAGAGGCCTTTATAATTAGGACAAATTTTTCCAAAGTTATATCTGATCACTAAAATGATTTAAATCTTTCTTTGAGATTAAATAAAATGTTTTGCGGACACTTGGGCGTTATTTTTGGATAAGAAGAATAATAGTTAATAAATATTTTATTTTATTAATAAAACATTGACTTCTATTCTATTCCTATACCTGAGGAATAAGGAGACTGACATAAACACAAACTATAAAAGTTGCTAAAACATATTTTAACCATAATGGTTGAAATGGCCAAACTCCTGATAATTTTAATATATTTTTAGAAATTGTATAATACTTTTGTTCAAAAAATTCCATTTTTAATTTTAAAACATTTGGTTTACAAATCTTCAGTTAGCATTTAAAGAATGAATATATCAATCTGCGTTAGAATTTAAAAAACTTTCTTTGTGTAATTATCTTACTGACTACATAATAAAAGAGGGTCAAAATCACATTTATTCTAAAGTCATGAGCTTTGAAACATTAATTCTATTCTGGCAAATAAAGAAGAACTAACTTAAAAATATGTCACCTGCATCTGAATAAAATAAGTGTTTTTATAAAAATTTAATGACTTCACGATTATTGTTTCGAAGTTACGTGCTCAGTTAAAAATGTTTTATATGTAGGCACATCGAATTTAATGACGATTTTATAACATTTTCCTAAGCGAATGAAAATGAAAAATACTTTTCTTTGGGTTCAAACGATTCACCTCGAGCAAGTGAGGGTTAATGTGTTTATTTGGGAGAAAAATACAACTTACATATTTTGTTTACAAAAATTAGTTTACCGTAACTTATATATAATATCTAAATAACAACGAAATGGAATTGCGCACTTACGATTATACTTTTTTTTCTACATTAATTAAACAACTTATTAAATTATTCAATACTGCTCTTATTTTTTCTTCATTTCCACGTTGATTAATACGATAATCTGACAAACGCTGAAATATTTATTTTTATAAATATTATCCTAAATATTAAGGTAATGTATTTGTGCTTATGGTTCTTTTTAAAGTTAAATTCTTTCACTCTTTAAAAACGGAGTTTTATTAGAAACATTTAATTTCAGTTTATTAATAAAAGAATTATTTTTAATTATCTAACTTTTTATTTATTGCTTGATTCAATTATTTAAAAAAAGATTTAATAAAATTGTATGCAAACATTTAATTATTTTTATAAATAATAAAAATTTCACAGGAATTCAATTATTTTCATAAAAAAATAATTTCAAATTCTAGAAAATTAATATTAATTGAATTAAAATGATGAAAATAATTTTTGATAAAGTTACAGTAACTTTCTTTTTCTAAAACAAAACTATAATTTTGTTTAAAAAATTGTGATTCATAAACAAAAATAATGCAAAATAAATTTTCTATTTCTTAATCACAGTTGTTTAACAATTTTCTAATTTTGTTTAGAAGTAAAGAACAAAAATAATTTCAATTCGACAGAACATAATATTTAACAAAAGTTTAGTCTTTTAATGAAAAAAAGTGAAAAAAAAATTCTGATGATTTCTATTTGTCATTACAAATTTTTAATTGATTATAAAATAAAAATAATTAACTATTATTAACTATAATAATCCTATTATTCATTCTTTCATTCTGTCCACACCTGAAGTTAGTCATGGTTATTCTTTTGTTTTTTATACGTTTTGATAGAAAATAGAAATAAAATATAAAATAACGATTATTTAACAAAATTCATGCTTTTGTTTTTTATGTTTTTACTTGTTGGAATTTGGCTGTACTTTTGTAAATTTATTACATTTATAGTGATAAACAACTCCACTAAATATTTTTTCAAAATTTTGAAAATTACCAAAAATATGGCATTTTCAAAATTTTTGTCTTTTTTTTTAAGTGCTATAACTTTAATTCTAATTAACTGATTTTGGATTTTAAAAAAAGGATTTCTTTGGTTTTAAGTATATTTTAAGTTAAAATTAATATAACAAAAAAATTCAAAAAATTTTTTTTTTTAATTTTGAAAAATTAAAAATTTGTTTTTGAAAAAACATCAGCTTTGATTTTTTTTCAAAATTTTGCTAAATTTTAGGGCAAATGTGCTTTACAAGTCCTGTAAGTTTCATCTTGGGATCTCAAGGGGATTCGGAGTAAAAAAATAAAACGTAACCACATATTACGAATATATGGGGCAAAATTCCTCAACAGCCCAGGTAAAAAAATGAATTTTCTCTAAACTTTGCTAAAATGTTACTATTATTAGTAGAAGTGTAAATATTAATTTTTTTTTAATTTGATATAATATTTTTTGAATTATGGAGTTTCAAAATTTTGATCTTTTTGAAAATATCTTTTTTTCGATTTAATATATTGATAAGTAAAATTAATCAAATTTAAAGTATGAATAGTGTTCTACACGGGCTTCATTGAAGTAACTGTTTTGTTATTTTTTTTTTCAAAAAATCTTGATATGAATTGAAGTGAAATTGTAGTTTATTAATTTCTATCAAGAAATTACTGTTCTGAAATAAAGTTTAAAGAGAATGTTAACCACTTCACTGGCAGGGCGTTCCAAATGGCGTTCCACGCGCCGAGGCCCAGACTGGTAAAAACACCGAAATGGCGTTCCTAATAAAACTTTATTTTTTAAGAGTGTACACTACTTTTAACTTCTACAAAGCAATATTTCTATAGTTTAGACATCAGGGAACAATATTATCACAATAAAAATTTCAATTTTTGAGATTTTCAATGTTTCTTCGAACGTTGAAATACTCAATTTTTACCACTTTTCAACAAATGGCGTTCCACTTTCTTTCAATTTTTACGCAGTAAAACTCATATTTTTTATTTAAAAAAATGTATTAATATACAATTATATAATAATATAATGCATTAATTATAATAATAATTATAACAATAATAGTAATTGTTATTATTAATAATTATTATATTTTATTTATCAATTATTTATATTTATTTTTTATTTATTACATTATTATTATTATAATATAATATTGTATATAAATACATTATTTTTAAATAAAAAATATGAGTTTTACTGCGTAAAAATTGAAAAAAAGTGGAACGCCATTTGTTAAAAAGTGGTAAAAATTGAGTATTTCAACGTTCAAAGAAACATTAAAAATCTCAAAAACTGAAACTTTTATTGTGATAATCTTGTTACCTGATGTCTAAACTATAGAAATATTGCTTTGTAGAAGTTAAAAGTAGTGTACACTCTTAAAAAATAAAGTTTTATTAGGAACGCCATTTCGGTGTTTTTGCCAGTCTGGGCCCCGGCGCATGGAACGCCATTTGGAACGCCCTGCCAGTGAAGTGGTTAATGGTATATATGAAAGTAAATGATTTGAAACTTTCTTTCTATAAAGTTTTATAGGTTTTAATAAAGTTCACGGAATAAATTATATACTTTAAGAATTCTAGAAATTGATCTTAAATTCACCATATTATGATTTTTTGCGACATAAGTTTTTCCAATGAAGATAAACTACCTGTAAATTATTTTCTTTTAGGAAATGTTTATGTTATTTAAACGTTGAGATCGATTTTGCGACCATGTCAATAAATAAGATTATTTTCATAGGAAATAATAAAAATATAAGTTAAAAATAAAATTAACAAATTAAATCTTCTATTTTCAGTTTTGATATTAATATATCAATTTATCAACTTTTGGAATTAATTTTTTTTATTTTACACTCAAATCTACTTCTCGTTAAATATTTAAAGTTTTTTAAAGTAGAAATAATTTAAAAACAAAATTCTTGATCAGACCATGATATTTTTTAAATTAAACATATTTATATTTCAGAGCAATTTTAAAAATATTTGGACAATCATGGATTTAGAAGACAGAAGAATTTACAATTTCTGATAGTATACGCTAATCAATAATTATCATATCAACTTCTCTAGTTTGAATGAAGTAGGGGAGAGTAGGCTACATTGAACCAGCGTCAACAGTGAACCACTTTAATTTTCTAAGAAATGACTAAGTGGAATTTTTTCTTATTTAATATATAAATTAGTATTACCGAAAGCGACTACGTCCAAAAATTTCGAGCACGTAGGTTTATTATTTACAAAGAAACACGAAAAAAACTGTTTTTCACGTACACGGAGAGAGATTCTGTTTTAATATTTCGTATTATTATATTAGTATTTAGTAAAACCGATTGCAATTTGGGGAAATCATGTACATTTATGAATTAATATTACCATTTTTAAGAAAGTTTATAATCAAATTATTACTTTGTATTATTCTGAAGTAATAGAAATTGAAATAGTCAATAAGAAGTTGTAATATTATAAGTAAGAAAGTATGCAATAGTAAAAAGTATTACCAGATGATTATACTAAATACTATCGAAGAATTACATAAGTTGTTAATTTAGTTATGAATAGTATTATCGACTATAATAAAAATTATGACCAGCCTAGTAGCAGGCCATAGCAGGCTATGGGCTGACGTCAGGCTGACGTAGAGCGGTTACGAAGCTGTCCGAGATTAGCCGAATATTTCAGTCGAGCAGTTCCGAAATTATCCGAGTCAAACCTCGTGGCAACATATGCACGTTGTGTTTACCCCAAAATATTTTAATTTGATGTGTCAAAATGTGTCGGAATTGGGTGAACAATTTTATTTTGTTCATTCAATAATTTTAATCGACAATGAAGATTTCCTAATTGTAGTAAAAGGCATAGTCCATTGTCTTTTAAATGAGCATTTGAGAGCATTCAAAATTTACATGGAAAAAAATTAATCTCTAAATTAGAGATTTAATATGAGATTTAGGCATAAACTATCACTGGAATCGGATGTGTGATTTGAACAGATCTGTA